CTCTTGCTTTCTTGCTTTCTTTCTTGCTTTCTCTTGTAATCTAGCTGTCTCACTTGGGATTCTTGTCCTTGGAAATAAAACTATCATTTGGTAAGGCTGTTTGTATTTGTGTATGTTTGTAGGAATAGAAAGAAATATATGGAAGGAAATAAATATTAAAGTTAACATTTGTTATTTGGAGTTTTGGGAGAGCTTGTTGGTTTTTTCTTTTTTGTTTTTGGCTTGTTTCCTCTAGCAGGAGTTTTTTTTTTTTATTGAAGTATAGTCAATTTACAATGTTGTGTTAATTGCTGGTGTACAGCATAGTGATACAGTCTGTCTGTCTGTCTGTCTATCTATCTATCTATCTATCTACCTACCTATCCCTTTTCATATTCTTTTTCATTATAGGCCATTACAAGGTATTGAATATAGTTCCCTATGCTAAACAGTAGGACCTTGTTGTTTTATCTGTTTTATTTATAGTAGTTAGTATCTGCAAATCCCAAACTCTGTTTCTCTCTCCTCACCCCTTTCCTCTCCGGTAACACTCCGGTAAGTGTGTTTTCTATGTCTGTGAGTCTGTCTGTTTTGTCAATAAGTTCATTTATGTCTTTTTTTTTTAAGATTCCACATATAAGTGATATTGTATGGTATTTTTCTTTCTCTTTCTGGCTTATTTTACTTAAAATGACGATTTCTAGGTCCATCCATGTTGCTGCAAATGGCATGATTTTATTCTTTTTTATGGCTGAGTAGTATTCTGTTGTATATATAAAATGTCAGTGGACATGTAGGTTATTTTCATGTCTTGCCTATTGTAAATAGTGCTGTTGTGAACATTGGGGTGCATGTATCTTTTAGAATTAGGGTTTTAGCAGGACTTTTAGTTTGAAATGAAACTCTGATAAGATATATTTTATAAAAGACTTTTCTTTCAGCCTTTTCTATGCTTATTTTAATGAGAATAAAAGAAATACATCTGCTTGGGTACTAGGTAAGGCTGATGCTTGAGACTCAGGGTAGATGGTGTGAATTGTGTGGTGTCCATAGGGCAGGACATGTGAGTTTTACCAGATTTTGCCCAGTGATTGAATTTTTATGTTGATGTAGTGGAGTAACCTTGAGAGGTTACTCAAGTTCTCTCAACCTAAAGTTTTTAACAATTAAAATAAAGGTTAAAAATACCTACCACTTTAGGTAGGTATCTTTATTGTGAAGCAACTCGAGAAAGGATTTTCAAAGTATTAAGCTTTTAGCTCAATAGGCTTTAGTTGAATTCAAATTTCCTGACATTTTCAGTGTCTATGCTATACCTCGCATCATTGCTATAGGGATTCAAATCCACATCTATTCCTGTGTCTATATGTATCTATAGAGAGGATAAAAGCAGGCTAAATCTTAACCACACAAAGCATTACGATATCCAATGTCAGATGAATACTATGTGTTTTAATGTATTATTGAAGGCAATAATGATCAGGGAAGACTTCATGGAGGAGGTGAGACAGTGCAGGTCTTACCTACCCGCAGGGACAGGACAACGCAGGACTGGCTCACGGCAGGCAGAGCCACTGTTGCCCCAGTTTTGCGAGAACGCCGACGCGAGAGCGCCCCCTTCCGGAACCAAGTCCCTCTGGCCCCTTTCCCGTGCCTCGGGGAGAGCGCGGTGCCGGCGATACGCAGGCGCCGGGAGCCGATGAGGGCTAGCGAAGGCTCGACAGGCGCGCATGCGTGCAGCTCTCTGGAGGCGGTAGCTTCTTCGGCGTCGAGACTGGAGGCTGAGTGCTAAACTGTGTGGGGCGCAAATGGGATCCGGCTGTTAGTCGGGTAGGCATAGGTCGGACGGCTGCCTTGTGGGGAGCAGGGGGCTGGAAGGCGGGAGCCCATAGCGCGGGGGTCCTGAGCCTCTTCTGTGAGATCCGGGCCGACTATTGTATCTGTGTCGCAGCGGCTGCGCACAAAATGGCGGCGGGCAGACGGCGGGGGCGGGAGGAGTTTGGGGGACCCCCGGGATGGGAAGGGGAGCTCGGCCGCCCCGCCACCGCGTCGGCTCACCGCGCTGCCCCGGAGGGCCGGGTCGGGCTCCGGTGCTAGGACTCTGCCTCAGGAAGAGCCGCCTGACGCCGTTGCGCTGAACGAAAACAGCCCTTTGGCAAGGCCGTGGCGGCCCCTTCCCCATCGGCGCAGGGCCTGCCGAGACCGCGCCGGGCCTGACAGCCGGAGGAAGCGGTGGTGCGGGAGCGTCGCCGAGGGAGGAACCGTTCCCGTCGGGCCTGGAGGAGAGGCGGTGGAGCTCGAGCTGAGCCCTTTGGCAAGCGACATTGTGCAAGAAGCGTGGAGAGAAGAGCGTGTTTGTGTTTGGGGCCGGGGAAAGGGGAGCTGGGGTGAAGGGGGGACGTGGTGGTCTGCGGCATTTGCGGTTGGTGTTTCCTCCGTCTGCCTTGTGCGGGCATGAAAGCAAAGGAAATGTCACCTCTGTGCGGGATACGGAGGGCTCATGAACTGCTCTGATACTTATTTCAGAATTTCTCAGAGGAATCGAGAATGCGGATCGTTAGTGATTTAGTTTTGTGTGATTCCTGGCTTGGGCCCCGTTCTTTTGAAGGTGGGGGTAGAATTTATACCCTGTACGAGAATCCTTGAAGACATCTAAAACAAATCTTTTGTTGTTTGAAATAACTGTGAATGAGGGAGACTTAAAATCTTTAATTGAACTAGGCAGTGAAGGCTGCCTCAAGCTATGTTTTTTCTTGGTCTTAGAATTTGCTCTTTGGCGAAATTTGGGGGGAAATACTATTTTAATCCGGAGGAGTTCTGAAGAAAAACTTGTTACTAGGATCCCTCGATTTATGTTGATTCAGACTCTTTTTCTAACCAGCTTCGGAATTGTGCACACACACATTTTTTTTTCTTTATTTGTTGTAGAGGGTTAACTTATTTTTAAAGGATGTTTGCTGGTTCACATTCGCAATTATCATGGATAAACTGAAAAAAATTAAAAGAAAAAGTGAGTGTAATGAAGTTGATAAAGGAAAAGTGACGCAAAATTTACATGATTCCAACACATCTTTAAATATTGTTGATGGTTAGGTATTCTAGACTTAGTGGGCTTATGTTGCGGGTTTTTTTTTTTTTTTTTTGACGGTATTTCATATACACTTTATTTTGTGTTCTCATATTCTGTGATACACACTTTTAAATAATTAGTGGAATCAACATGTTGTTAATACACTAAAATATGCTGGGCCAGTCCCTTCCTGATTGTTTTTGTTGGCACCAAGTGAGGGTGAAGATAAAACAGTTGGAAGAAATCACAATTCCTCATTCGTTTTCATTAACTAGTTTTCAGAATGTATTTAGTCGTGTCACATATATCTGTTACCTTGAGTATTGGTTATATTTTAGGTTTGTAATCTTTTGTGTTTTGTTTTGGAGGGTGTATACAGCAGATACTCCAGTTTAAAAAAATACAATCAGTGATCACTTTGTACTTCATACTGTCTTAAAAGTTCTCTTGGGTGCTCTTAAGAAGGTGATCTCTGGAAATTCTTATGTAGTGAAAGAAAATGAGATAAATAGTGAAAAGAGAATAGACTTTGGAATCAGAAGATCAGACTTTGAATCCCTGTTTTCCTTTTACTATATGAGTGCGATTTGGAGTTAAAAATTATTTTAGTCTTTCTGAATTTTTGTTTCCTTATCTGTAAAATAGTGATAATACTACTTGTTTGGGATTATTGTGAGGATTAAGTGAGACAGTGTATGAAAAGCCCCTATCCCTTGGTACATACTAGGTGCTTAATAAATGTTAGCTGTTGCGGTTGCAAATTTTTAAGTGCTTAGGCAGCATCTTTTGATAGAAAATTGTAACCTGTGGCTACTCCCTCTTAATTAAAAAGAAAAGGCTGAAAGGAATTTTGATAAAATTGATAGAGTTTTGGAGCTGAAAGATCATCTAATCTTTCATTAAAATATTTTGCTAATCTATAAACTTTACACCTCTCTTGTGGCACCTATCAAAATACATTGTAATCATTGACTTACATGGTTGTTACGCTCATCTTTGTATCTATTCCAGTGCCTAGTATGTATTAGATGCTCACATGCTGAGTGAATGAGCTCAGCTGATTCAGCTTATCCTTAACTTATTCACTCTCTGGATCAGAACACAGGCCCTTGGAGTCCAAATCGAGCTCTTCCTCCTATGGCTTAATGTATCCTTATCAAGTTTAGGAAATACCTGCCCAAATAATTAATAAAATGCTTTATATATTAAGAAACACTGCTTCCAGTATAGGTATCCAATAACACATTTTGGGCTGTTTTGCAAGGAAACAAGCTACTGGGTGTTAAAATGTGGTTTAGAGATCCTCCAAACTGAGAGTAATTACATTTGTGGCTAAAGCTGTTAAGCCATCTTTGTATCCAATTTATGCTTACATTGCTTCAACTTTATTTACTGTAGTCTGAAATTTGTGGCTGAAATGAAAATGGAAGGAAGATAGGTATATGGAAAATAACAGAATAATGGAAAGGAAGAAATAATGGTAGGGAAAAGCTGAAGTATAGAAATAAAACATAGCTCCAATAATAATCATTGAGGATCAAGAATAATGAGCTTTCTGTAGAAAAGAGAAATGTTCAGGGAGTATAAAGAGTTTCAAGGTACACATATTTTGGTATTTTCTTAGTGCTTACCTTGGAGTACATGTATTTTGGATTATTTTTCAACTCTCTTGAACCCCTTAAAAATGTATATACTTACTGTTGCAGTCATTCTGCAGTTTTTATACTTTTTCCCCTGCCTTGTTTCCAGTCTTCATTTTTTTATTAAACTTTCAACTGATTTCCCTGTTGTCCCTGCTAATGAGTGAATGTTGCCAACTTCCTTTTCTTTTGAATTTCTTCACTTTAAAAAAATTTTTTTATTGAACACACGAAACAGAGTGTATTATATGATTCGCTCATGTGTCTGTCAGCTGGTTTCAGCAGTTAGAAGCTAATGATCAATCTTGTCTCTACCCTCCACCCTGTTATTTTTAAGTAAATCTCATATTATTCGTTAATTTATAGTTTGGAATTTTTCTTTAAAATATTTAGGAAAAAGCATGCTTATCACACCTAAAATAGTTCCTTAATATTAAGATGTTCAGTCAATATTCAGATTTCCCCAGTTGTTTCTTAGACACCATACACATATGTGTGTAAATACACATATTAACTTAATTTCTGTTTCTACTACCGTATTGAAATTTTCAGAAATTACCCGTCTTAATAAAAGGAGCAAACAACTACCTGCTTCTTAAATAAAACATTTTGTTTACTATGTAACATTTTTTAAGTATCTGTTGTATGTCAAGGGGTGTAATTTTAACCCGTCTTGACACCAACATTCTGTGTCGTTACACTGAGGCTTGGGTAATCAGCTTGCTCAGGGTCACATTTTTAGCAACCAACAGGATCAGCATTAAAACACTTGAGTCTAGGGTCTGAGTTCTTAAAAAACACTATGCTACATTAGTGCTAAATTTTACTTATGGGAGTTACTCAATTTTGCATGAAGTCACTTGCTGGCGCACCCCTTCTAGCAGGGTGGGTATCTTCAGATCAGTGGAAATTTCCCCAAAGATCAGATTATTATGAATTGCGTAATGGGCTGACTAACAGTCAATAGTTAGGGAGTGAACATGATGCACAAAAAGAACAACCAAATCCAAAAATGTGCTTAGAGCTGATGCTCTTTACCATATTGCCGGCTTTCTGCCTGTTGGCATACTTGCTTATGTCCTTTTCTGACTTAGCATATAATTCTAAGATGTTAGATAGTCCAGTGTTGATTCACTAGTTTTTGAATTAATTTAACTGTTTGCTGATGGGTGAATTCCTTATTTCCCTTCCCTTTGTCCTTTGCCAGCTCACATGCACCCACTCACCCCTATTTTTTTCCTGAACTGTCTTGAGAATAAGGTGCATGTATTGTGCTCCTATATGGGTTATTAGTGTATTAATTAGTTTAATAGTTTATGTCCTAAGAATAAGCTGTTTTCTTTTGTAGTTATGGTACAGTTATCAGTTTTTTTTTTAACCACATTCTGATTTTATTAGTTGGCTCAATAATGTTTCTTACAGCATGTTTTTGCCCCCTCCAGTACAGAGTCTGTCTAGGGTTAGGTAATTGCATTTCGTTGTCATGTTTCTTAGTATTCCTTTCTCTGGAATATTTCTCTAGTCACTTTATCTTTTGTGAAGTTGACATTTTTGAAAAATACTATCTGCTTTTTTTTTTAATAGAACATTTCTTATTTTGGATTTTTTTTTTTTTTTGGTGTTTTCTCTTGAATAGATTCAAATTATGTGTCCCTGGCCAGAAAACTCAAACTGCTATTTTCCCCAGTGGTGTCAGATTGGAGATGCATGAAGTCCATCTGCTTCTCATGGATAATATGATGTTTGATCATATGTCTAGTTAAAACATTTGATTTTTCTTTTCCCCTTGAACTAATTGATCTGTGGAAAGATATTTCAAGACTATGCAAATGTTCTATTCCTTTTCAAAATTTCACTCAAGGTTTAACATGTATAGATGATTCTTGTCTGAGCCAGTCTTTACATTACTATATTGGTTACAAAAAGATTTTCCAACTTAGCAGTTTCTGTACATTTATAGTGATTGATTGGTATGGAGTTATGGACTCCTGGTCTTCGCAGTTATTTGTAACTTATTACTTTCCAGTTCTTTCTTGCTTTCTCCCATTTCTTATATATATATATATATATATATATATATTTGTTTCTCATATATATGTATATATATACACACACACACACAGATACATATATATGTCTTGTTTTCCACAGTAAGAGCTCTGGTTCCCAGCACTATCAAAACATTTGCTTATTTACTCATTACCATTATCTACAGTAATTTAAGGATTGCCTCTCCCATACCACTACAAAAAAAAAAGCAAAAAACAAAATAAACTACTAAAAAGAGAATTTGTTTGTAGTTCTCCCTTTTCTTCTAGCTCCACCACAACTGAGAGTGTATAAATCAAATAGTGTGTTCATAAATTACTTGCATTAGTGTTTTTCCCCATCAGTGAGTTACGGTACTTATTTGAAAAATGAATTAGTTTGCTTTCAGGTTTAGCTTTTTTTGCCTCCCTCCCATCCTTGTTTTAATTTTTTTTTAATGTAGATTGTTAACATGCTTCTAAAAATCAGAACTATGTAGTAAGATATACTCCATGAACTATCATTCCCATTTATTTCCTTTCAGTTGTCTCTGTTGCCCCTTATAAATAACCAACTTCATTGTTTTC